AACCATTAAATTTTGAGGTTGATAACAACGTTGTACATTGTGAGCACCATAAACTGGGGTTGAAGTACTTAGTTGATTACTACCCGCTACTGACCTAACTTCACTACTTCTAGGTTCAACAACATACAATGTAACATCATCTTACGAAACACTAATGTAAGCAATGAGTCGTTCAACATCTTCATTATTGGTTAACAAATAAACTTTACCTTTTCTCTGATAAGATAGCCTAAATCCACTTAGAGGCTCTAAATTCAATTTCTTTGCAACACGTAACATTAGAGTTTCATAAGTTAACTTTTTTAATGACAGTTTTAGTTGAAGATTCATGGGTAAAAGACATATATTGTAAAACACCATGAACATTCTCCCATGACCCTCCAAAACACAAATCTATCCAAATATGATGAACATTAGATGATTTCATTCTACAAATTGAAAATTTATTTACTAAACAAACGAGCTATAAACTAGATATCATCACTAACTTAGAGAAAAATATACCTTTATTAAGTTGATAGTTGATAATTTGGGAGAGAAATCATCGAAAAAATTATATAGAAATAAAATTATGTAAAAAAAATTAGAGATTGGGAAGGATGTCGCCGGAGAGTGATAGATGGAGATCGAATGAGTAGCGATTTAGGGATTTAGGTTATGAGTTGTTGCTGCTTCGTAGTTTATATACCCAAAACATTTGTGTTGCGAAAATAAAAGTTGTTACGAAATTAAAATTCGTGTTGCGAAAACAAAATTCGTGTTGTGATTTAGAAAATCTTGTTGCGAAAAGGAAACTTGTGTTATGAAAAATAAATTCGCGTTGCGAATTTGAAATTCCGTATTGCGAATTTGACTTATGTGTTGCAAATTTGGAACCTGTGTTGCGAAATTGGAGTTCGCGTTGCGAATTTGTTGGTCATTTTCGCAAATCCAAAAAAAGTTTGTTAAAATCGTATATTATAAGGCATTTTCGGTCACTGAAGTTATTTTCTCTTTTAATAATAGTATTCATCGATATACAAATATTTTAATTAAAATATAATTCGTGTCTATTTAATTCTCGATTTTCTTGAGTCTCAAGATGAATTGATTTTTTAAGTAGTTTGTAACTCTCGTATCCACGTCTTATAGAAGGGATTTAATAACAATGGATGATCTCTAAAATAAATGAGTTTAATTATTAACCGATCTAACATACTTAATGGGTTCTTTTGGTTTGATAAATGGCAACCTTTTGCTTATATTCGTGGCACTTCACGTCTGTCTCGACCTTTTCTTCCTTTGTTTGACGTTTTACGGTGAGCTTTACATATCGTTTTCTTGATTTGTGCAGTCACTATGCCTTTCTTGTACCAGAATTTTTGTCCCTTCACTCATGATTTACAGGTCCATACCTAATTTTCTTGATTTTATTAAATAGATTTACAAGTCCATGAACATGTCCAAGATAACACCTACGCATCCTCACAATTATAAATTTTAGAATCTTTGGTTAACTGATTAAAAGACGCTGGGAAAAATATAAAACAGAAAAAGAAAATAGTAGAAAAAACAAAGCCGTCGTGCTTGCATCTGATCCCTAAACATGTCCAAGTTCATTCAACACGTTTCAAAAGCAAAGTACAAGAAGCCTTAAATACATCTTCTCCAGTGGAAACCAACTCTGCCTTCTCATTTTTCAGTACAGATAAGCAAACCCGTCATGCCCTCCTTTTTAGTTTTTCAGACAGAACGCCTTTGTTATCGGAGATCCGCGACGGTTACGAAGATTTTAGGATAAAGGAAGTTGGAGATGGCGATCTTAACTCCGGTCTACATCGTCGATGGGCATTTCCGCTTCTTTTGTCATCAAACAGGTTGGATTTCATTCGTTTTCTTTTCCTATTCATGTTGAATTAGCCAAGACTCGAATGGTTGTCGATTGGTGAAGTTGTTTCAGCTATCCGGCAAAGAATCCATAGGTGATGATGGAAATTGATATTGGTTCCCTCAGTAAAACTTCAAATACATATACATTCCAGGCCAAGCTGCTCTGGCTGGAGTTAAACAGGTGTATAATGTTCATTGTTGGTCCATTAATTAACCTGTGAAACTCTATTGTCTACTCTTTGTGCTGAATAGAATGGAAGGTTTTCCATGATTGCGTTGAGAAAATATGTCCCTTTTATCGTTCTCTCCATTTAACTATAAAGTTTGTAAACACACGATTACTTCTCGTAAATATTGTTGTCTCTATAGAACTCGTATTAGAGAACTCGTAAATCTAAAACTCTGAACATATACTACGAAGCTAAAACAAAAAAGCAGAATTAAGTTTTCAACGAATCAATGTTCTCAACAATTCAATCCCAAATAAAAAAAGAAAATAATATGAAAAACATTAAAATCTCCTGTTTTGATTTCTCCAAATTATGAATTAAGTTTGTCAAGCATCTTCTTATATTCTGCAGAATCCAGAAACATAAAACAACAATCAGACTCGTAAAACATTAAAAAAAATAGAAGCTATTATATTCAAACTAAAACAAAGGTACCTTCTTGATTGCTCCAAAGCTGAGCTGCTTGGGTGTTCAAAGGTGAGCTAATGTTTGGTTCTTCATGTAAACAAAAACCTCCTAAATCTCATAGTAAAAAACCTTCTAAATGTTTAAAGAAGAAGAAACCAAAATAAATACCTCCGAGGAGACTCTGGATAGATAGCAGTATGGTTCTTACATCATAAGCAGATGACCATTTATCCTACAAACACAAACAATTATGAATCAAAGATTATTTATTTTTTCCCCGGTAAAAAAAGAGAGAAGATTGTTTCTAGTTTACCTGAAGAATGTCCAAGCAAATGTTTCCGTATACATCGACATTCGGATGGAAACAGGCGGTCTCGAACTTAACCTTCGGGGGTTTAAAAGGGTAATCATTGGGGAATGCAAGAGATAACTTGTATTCTTTTCCTTCAAAAACTGTGTCTTTGCTTCCTTTAATTGTTCCTTTCCACCAAAATATGTTGTCCTCTTCTGGGAATGCTGATATTCCAGGATCCCCACCCATCTATCAAACAGTATATATAAATTTAGAACTAATGCCTTTGTTTTGAAGAAGCAAAACATCAAACAGATTTAAGGCAGTACTAGCGTTCACTTTTTACCATCAAAGCCATCAATTCGGTTTGCAACCTGTTGACGCCAAAAAAAAAATCAAATCAAATCCACAAAATTAACTTAGATTTAACCTTTAGAAACAAAATCCAATGCGAACTAGTAAAAAAAAAGAAGGAAAACCTTTTAAAAACAGATTGAGAATCAACAGTCCTAGCAGTGGGGGTAAGCTGTTTTGATCCAGTGGTAGAGGCCACTGGTGTGTTTCCTGTGTACCCATTTGTCGTTGCCATTCTCTTCTTTTACTTTACGAAGAGGGTTTTGAGAAGAAAAAGAAAAACAGATCCACAAAGGATTTTCGAAAGAATCAAAACCAAAGGGAATAATCAGCAGATGAGCAGAACGTGAGCAAAACGGGTATACGAAGAACAGATCCACAAGGACTTTTCCCTGTTCTTCGTATACAGAGCTTTAACAGATAACGAGAGAGTGAGAGAGAGAGAGAGAGAGAGAGAGAGAGAGGAGTTGTGACTTGTGAGGGTTTGAGAGTACGTGTTTTGTTTGTTAAAAAGGGTGGGAAAAGAAAAGTTTCTGACCGTTGGTTGCAAATTCAAACTTGCAACGGCTAGTTGGCTAGTTCCCCCCCCCCCCTTTTTTCACTTTTCTGCTCCTTTTTTTCATTGCAGCAGACCTTCTTTTCTTTGTAAAATTGGGCCAATCGAAATAAGCGTTTCGATATTATTTCTCACTTGTTATATGGCCCAACTTTACTTTTGTGTGTATTTATTTTAAATGGTTATGTATTAATATATTATTATCATTGTACTCAATATTTATCAGTAAAATAGATTTATCTTTTAAAATATTTATATATATGATAAGATATTTAATTAATTTTAGATAATAATATTTATATTCAATATAAATAATAAATTATTATTTTTATCCAAACTAAACTTTAAGAATGAATATTTAAAGATGATACTTTTTATGAACCTGATGATCTTGTCTAAACTTGATCTAATAGGAGTTTAGAATCCAAATTTGAGGTGAGAAGAGAATTTTTTTTTGAAAAGAAGTTTAAAGTCGAGTTACATTTCTTTAAAAAAATATCTTCGACTTAATCCAAATAAATATATTTTAAAATGTTTACAAAAATTCTACATTCTCTCTCCATAATGTTTAGGTTTCCTCATTTTCTTCAACATCAGCCATTCACCTCACTTTCTCTCTTGTTCGTTTTTCTTCATTTTCTTTTTCAAGGTTTCTTCTCCCCAAATTTCCTCTCTGTACATTCTCTATACAGGTAATATTATGGGAATAATATTTATCTTATATTTTCTTTTAACAAAATAACATCCAAACAATATTATTGATCAAAATATTTTATTTTGAAAATGACGTAACACATGAAAACGTTCAAAAGATGTGTTTTATAGGGCAAATCTTTACCGACTCTTTTTGATAATTCTTCTCGTGCACTAGAAGCTGTAAGGATATTGAGTTTTTATTGTCAATTTGTTAATCTTTAGAACATTTACTACCTTATAATTATCATATATTAATAAAAAAAATAGTATCATTGTCATTTCCAAGGGCAAACAAATAAAATCAAATGAAAGACGAATTTTAAGATCTGTGAAAATGCTTTTTTGATGAATTATATTTTCTGCGTAAATAACTCAGCATAACATGAAAACGTTTTTCACTTTTGTAAACAATGATGAAAATATTTAAAATCCTGTCAAACTTTCACCTTTGAACCTTACTTAAAATGAATACGTTATCATTTGATGATTGAATCTATGCTCTTTCATCTCTTTTTGCCCTCCCTTCTATCTTCCAAAATTATAGTTAATTATGCGATAAAATAAAACACGGGCTTTAATCTAGTAATGATTAGAACTGTATTATCCCAACTCCGGATGAACATCGGAACTGTATTTGCCCAATTCCTAATATATTTGAAATATTTTATGCTCACATCTAATAATATTATTGAACAAAAATATAGAATACATATACCTGAAGATAAATGGAAAATCAGAGTAACAAAAAACAGACCAATGACAATGAGTCAATGACATATATCTATTAAGAGAAAAGTTACCTGCATATATGCTGTATGCACAAGGACGGCTGAATAAATAGAAAAGCCACGGGAATGATGTTCAAGTTCAATAAGCTAGAACCTATTGAAAGATATATTTATATCATCAGCCACCCAACCGGATTTAGGACATAAAATACTAGAGTGAAATTGTGATGTAGCTAAAAAGTGCAAGGATTGCTGGAAATTTATATAATTTTCAAGTTAATGATGAAAAAATGCTAGCTTCTGGTCCGAAAATAAATGAGAATGTAGTCTCACCTATAAATCATGGAACTTGCACAGCCCACTATAGAAATGGTGAAAGTTTCTTTGATGATTTGCTCAATTTTCACCAGCTGAATGAAGGATCAATGTCGACATGTAAGCAGTCCCTGGATAGTGGCATTAATTATGCCGATGTATATTCAAGGTTCCACCATAGTTTTCATCAACAGACGCCTAGAAGAAAGATTTGAACATAAAGAAACATAAAGTCATTTACCATAAATGAAAACATATAAAGTTTGGTAAAAACAAGGAGATGACTAAATGTTGAAAAAGGAGTTAGAAGCTAAACAAAAGCTCCATGTACGATTTAAAGAGTATTGTCAACCACTTGTGGCGGTAAGAAAATAACTTGAAACTATTTACAGAAATGTAAATGAAATCCTGCATGCTCCATTTGAGAACTTGGATTTAGATTTCACTTGTTATGTAAATGGCAAGAGTTAAATTCATATATCATGCATAAATAGTTAAAATTCAATATGCTGTATAGTTCCTAAAAAAATATAATGTACAGTTGAAAAGTACAAAAATATGGATTTATCAAATCTGAATTTATATTAGGAATTTCAAATTCACTACTAAATAGGCATCTAACAAATCTATGGATTTGAGAAATAATCATGAATGTTACATAACCAAGTATTTTATTACTCATTTATACTAGATTTGAAATCTAAATCCAAAATTTGAAACCAAAGTTCTCAAATCCTACCTCAAGGTAAACAAAAAAATACAAGTAAAATGGTCTGAGAAAAAAATGAAGATATTAAACAGTAAATGTCACTAAAAGTGAAAAAATTATTTCAAGTATAGGAACTGGAGAATAGGAATATGATGTACTGACCTGAAGGTGGGGAAAGGTTAGATTGTACACCTCCAAGAAGAATTCTGATTTGGTACTTAGCCTGAAAGAGTATTTATGCTTCCATCAATATATGTATTATAAGCTAGAAGTAGCATAGATGACAAATAGTATCCCAAAGATAACTGATCCTAATTCATACTCAATCCATTAATCAATCTTCTAAAACCAGATCAGTTGGTCAAAAGGCCACCAATAGTTGAAAATTTAAGGCCTTATACAACATGATAATTATGAATTTCACAACAAACGTGCAAACAAAAAGGTCCAATGAGAGCACCAAATTATGCAAGAACGACTATCCTCTTCCACAACGTACAAACTCAGCAGAGTACAAGTACCTTCTTAGAAGACGAAAACAAACATAGATCTCCTCGATATCCACTACTATCTTCAATTTAACATAACTCATGAGAAGCTCATTGAAGCTGTGAATAGCTTCATTCCAAGCATCACATGTTGAATCTAAAGGATGCAGGGATTCAGCAAGAGTGCATTGCAATATTGAGGATAAACTCTCAGGTGAATTTGCTTTGTAATACATGTCAGCAACAAATTTCAATATTGGCAAATTGCTGACTTTGAACTTGTCAACCCACAGTGGAGGGTTTCCAATCCAAAGATTGTTGCTCAAACCAGTACCAGTTGATCCAGGTTGATTGTCAGCAGCAGACTTGATGCCCAATGGATGGCGTTCATTATCTGTCTTAGGACCCATGGCGGAGGTTTCTTGAATCCTGTGTGCAGGAAGTGCCTCAAATATGTCAGCTCTCAGTTCCTCAGGCAACTGCTGTAACACTGATGTGTCTAATTGGCTTAGAGAAGAAGGCACTAAATCATTATTTTCAAGTCCTGCAGTGGAAATTGCAACACTATTGGATCTGGCCCCAGAATCTGGCACTGTCTGCAGTTCTTGCAATATAGGCTGTTCATCCTTTGGGGAGGGAAAAATAATCATCAACAATAAAACTGAATACATTATCCAAACAAATATAGGTGAACATGGAGTCATCACAGCCATAGGAAGAATAAACGAGGAAAGCTCAAATGTCTAAAAACTGAATCGGTTAAGATATAAACCAAATTATCTGTACAGCCATATCTACCTTAAACCAACACTTCAACATGTCTGCACACGTTACACTATCTCTGTCATTTATTCCTGATTTCATATTTTAAACTCGATATACATAAAGTCAAAACTAGTACTGCCAGCAAAGATATTCCGATTGTTTTACAAAGTTCTAGTTGAGATGGGGATATTTCAAACACAATACAAAGAATCAAAAGGCAATATATAGCTTGGAATCAACAATTACCCTCATTTCCACTGCTGGTCTGCTCAATGAGACAGGATCAGAATTGTGAGATGTTTCTGCTTCCACTTCTGCAACTTGGTCAACAATCCAACAAATATATAAGCAATCAATACAAAGAAATTAAATATAAAGTTAAGGACCAGGTAAGAATGTTTCACCTAGGGCCGGTTCAGGAGGAATGAAGCATAACGATCTAGAGCTATTGTCACCTCGTACCTTTCTTTTGGTAATCAATTCAAATAGCTTTCCGCCATAAATTTCATTTATTTCTGAGAGGAGCTCCGAAGGAAGACTCTCCACAACTCCCATATCAAGGTCGCACAAAGGTGGGACACTTGAGTTCTGGTTTGAACAACCCTCACCATTGGATGGCTTATTTATCCCATGAACAGAATTCTCCACTGAAGCATTGTGTAACACACTTGAATTTCCATCCATATTCTTTCCTTCAGAATCTGCAACATGACACCGGTAACATTACGTGCTAATCTTAAGCAAAATAAAAGCAGAAACAAATTTTTCATGCACATTATACATTTCAGGATACTAGAGAAATAGTTTACTAGTTCTTTATTAAATGAAAAAGTAGATGCATGCTGGTTGCATCTTTTGCAATGATTAAGATCTTGGAATGGTATATTTAAAGCGTACAAACTCTAGCCGACTGAGTCTTAACTTGGTTGGTACCGTTGTAATTTCAGTATATTGGAGGTCATGTGTTGGAGAGAGCAATCACACAAATATCCTTCAATTTAGGGTTCTTTGTTTGGGGGAGGGTATTTGGTAGTCTGGGTATTGTGCAAAAAATAAAACGATAAAAAAAAGTATACAAACTCAGAGTTTTAAGAAGACAATGACTAGTGTAAGACGACTAGCGATAGGCTAACCACTACTACTACAATCTAGCCACTAAAACACGAGAGAGGAATTACCTGTACCCATACATTCTTTGGCTATGCTATTGATATCAAATTGTTCCTTTGAACTTTCTGAGGCAGACATGAGCCATGATTTCAAAGAGTTCCTTTCAGGTGCTTAAAATCAATTAACAAAAAAGATCAGTCAAGAAGGGATATAAACTAATGAAGCAATCAGGAATCTAACGTGGTTTGCATCACATTTAGGCCACCAAAAATTTAAAAGCACTCAAATGTATCAAGTCTATTCAGGATAATACAGCACATACCTTGTCTAGAAGTATCTGCACTTTCAAGCCTTGAAACTTGCAAACCAACACCTCGAATGTCCTTGACATCTACAAGAGATCAATTAAAAGGTTCTGATACTTAGTGTAAAGCCCACACCAAATTCATATACTCTAACAGTTCCAACCAAAATTACTGCCTAAAAGCTATTTCCAGAGGATGCATCGGGTGAAACTTGTCCACCAGACTCCCAAAAGATGTTTCACAATATCAAGTGCTTGATTTTCCTTTATGAAGGTTTCTTAAGCAAAGTGGCAGTAAACAATACAATTACTTTTCCAGAAGCAACAGTAAAGAGATTCTAAATCTGCTCTATTCAAAATGTTCAAGGCTAAGAGAAACGGCGAATGCAGAATTCATCATCTAAAAAATGAATGCATGACCATGAAGACCATGTTACCACCAATTAGGGCTGTAAATGGGACGAGATAGATCGCGAGCTACTCGAGATCGACTCGGTCAAGGCTCCATAAATACTCGGATTGAATGGACTCGACTCGAATTCTTAACAAGCCGAAACGAGCTACTTGATACTCGACTCGAAAAGCTCGTGAACAGCTCGAAAATACAATATATTAAGATTTTATTTTTTAAAAATAAATTATTAATAATATTAACATTTATGTATTGATTTTTTTTTAAAAAATACAGTAAGGCTTTCATGTATTTAAGGTTCAGGTTCGAGTTTGAGTTTGAGGCTTCAATCTAGTTAAGTTTAAGATTTTTTTTCATTTCGAGCCTTTCGAGTTGCTCACGAGCTTCAGTTCAGGATTTCGAGTTCGAGTCAAACTTAAAAATTTTAAGCTCGCGAGTTTTCGAGTCAAGTCGAGCTCAACAATACTCGAGCTCGACTCGGCTCGTTTACACCCCTACCACCAACTTCAAAATCTTGATGCTAGTATGCTACGATCCAACCAGCACTCATAATGTAACACTAAGAGTTGCTTGAACCATTTTCTTTCAAGAACAATTGGCATTCTTACAAAAAAAATTGCTGAGAAGCAAGAAAATTTTTATTAAAAAATGAACGGTTTGCCACTTAACAAAAGGCAACCAATCTTTATATATTCTACATAAGGTCTACATTCATGCTTGGACCTATGGAAACATACACATTACAGTGAACCTGAAATATCAAAAGGAAAAACCAATGGCATGTATGAACTTTTCCTACGGTTTCAAGACTCTCAAGCTAACATACCTATGTGGAAAGATCCAAAAAGCTGCTTTGTAATTCTCTGAAGCACTTCAATATCATCAGTAGCAATTGAAACCTATTGTGAAAAAAGCAAACACAATCCTCATATGTGATACATGTATTAAATGTGTATGTGCATGTCTCTCTATTCATGTGAACTAATACCAAAACATAAACAGTGTAAGGTGGAAAGGACAGTGAAAACATAAACCATAAGCTTTTACTTACTATTGGAAGTGTCAAAAAGGTTAAAGCTCTGCATGGTATAAGAACATAAATAATTTGTATTTACATTACAAGGCATGGAAAATTTATGTTACCGTAATGCTGTGGCTCAGGTTTTCGCAGTCTCCACAACCCATGAACTTTGTAGGCTCTCCAGCATCTTTCCTTCTCTTTTTTATCTAGATATGAATAATACACACACCAGAACATTTCTAATTTAGTGCTGGCCTTGATACATTATACTGTCACAGATTATCTTCCAGAGTAATTCAGCAAAAAATATCATATGGATCAGTCAAGTGATACCCTATACAAATCAATATAAAAGAAAATTACCTTAAGAGTGAAAGTTCGCCCTTGCACCCCACAACCTTGCAAACGTAATGAAACCTCTTTGCAGAGGTCTAAGAGGAAGTGCTGAGCCTGCAATAACCGATTAAAAATGTCTTCCTCAGTCAAAAAGAAGAAAAGACAACAAAGAGATAACCACAAGCCTTTATAATACATCAGACTACTGACATGTTGAAAATCCCTGAATCTTACACCCCAGTTCACTTCAGCTCCCACAGACTTGCTCTCCTGCAAATCACACCAACAGTAAGTAAGACAAATAGGAATAAATTTATCAAAAAGAAATTGGAAAACTTGACAAAATTCAGAATTGACCAATACAGTATTGTCAGACTGGAAAAATAAACTTATAAACTTATATTCCATCAGTTACAGATAAGATATGAGCTTCTGCACAATCAAAACTCAGGTTCTGAAATGGATATCTAGCACTTTGTTTATAAAATACTGTGCTAGAATAACTTCAATGTTCTCCAATACAATTATCAATAAAGATAACACCAGATATTCCTCTATAAACCTCAAAAAAATAGTTCATTGCTCGATTAAGCTGAGAGGAATTTTAGAATTCGAAACAGATATTCAAGGGAGCTTCATATTTGACTTTTGCAAGATAAAAACTGTGTATGTTAGATAGCTTGAATATATGGACATGACCTATGCAAATGAAAATCTGTAAAGAGTGCAGGCCTACAGTGTGAAATCAGGCAATTCTTGGATGAGAATCATATGCAGTTGGACAAACCTGAATCATCCCAACAAGACGATTATCCACTCCTCTACTATAATTCCAGAGCATCTCACCAGTTTTAATCCCAAAATCCTTTTGAAGGGAATCCTGCAGATGAAGAAGGTAGATGCACACAACAAATTAGATTAATATTTCACCGTACAGAAGTTTTGAGCATTGCATCTCATTTCTGAGATAACGATCGATACAAGCTCATTCATTTACCCACACTTATTAGAAATAATAAATTGGCCGTTTAATAGATGAAAGTACACCATCATATTTCAAACAAAGTGTAGAACTACCTTAGAAATTAAACGCAATTGTCCGCAAGTTTGAACATTTTTGTTTTTCAACTTTTCTGCCAGTACATGACCTATTCCTGGGAGTGCTTTTAATGGAAGTGGATCCAAGTATTCATCAACCTGCAAATTAAGTGAACATTGTGGTCAGTACGGAAGCATTTTATTTAAGCTATATCAGCTTATAGATATTTCAAAATGATTCTCATAATTCAATAAAACAGAAACTATATACTAATAAGAAGTGAGTCTAATGTGATCAGTTCAAACAACAGTTAAACAAAGTAGTATTCAAACAATCTGCTTCTATTGAAAAAAGCCATATTATTTTCCACCTCTTCCTTTTTTTTCCTTTGTTATTGGATTATTTTCCACCCTAAAGATGGTGAACTTCTGTAGTTTTTATTACCAAAGATCTAAAAGTCAGTAGTTTAGACATTAAATTTCGTTAGTCCATTTTCAAATTTCTGAATAATCGAATATAACAAGATGGATGCTTTTTTCACAATTACTCTAGTATGCAAACAAAAATAGATGAATTGAAGAATATGAGTGTCTTTCACAAACTCAACCAGGGACCATTCCACTTTTAAAATTAAGTACAGGATAGTTACATTCCTAATATTACCTTTCTTTGATGTCTCATGTCATTACAAGAGAATCTAATGCTCTACAGTGCCAACAATCAGAATAGTTTAATATACTTTACTGAAAAGGACGATGAAGAGAATTTTGTAGGAATTATAGAATTATATGAGTTGTTACCATTCCTTTAGTTAAGGGATTCTGTAAATATTCTTTCAATCCCTTATTTTAAGGGATCATATCTCCTAGGATTTGTATCTTAACTAACTTAGAGTTTCCTAATATAGAAACATAGCTTGTATATACAGATGCAATACGCCCTATTGAATTAATAAGAAAATACAAAGACTTACTCTGATTTCTACATGGTATCAGATTAGGTTACGGGTTTTTTTTCCCGACCTAGACCATGTCTACGAATTCTTCACCTGCATCTCCTACTCTGAAGATCACTTCAAATCCAGAAAAATTTTCACGTTTACCTACAGATTTGTCACCCGTGACTACTCCCATTGATTCTCTTGTAATACCTATCACTAATTCACTCACACCTACTTTAAACCCTCTTCCTGAAAATACACCTACTCCCATTGAAAGTCTTCCAAAAACAACACCACCCAAATAGCTTCGTGTCTACACAAGGAAAAGAAAACATATCCCTGAAGCTGTTTTGCAATCTGATTCTTGCCGAGAATTGGATTTGGGTCCCGCTGCCGAAATGGAAGAAGAAATACTCTAGATGACTTCCCTATTGCTATTAGAAAAGGGGTTAGACATAGCACCAAGCATCCTGCATCCTATTGGAAAGTTTACTAGTTATAATTCATTGATGCCTTCTTTTCAAGCATTTACAGCAACCTTGGATAAAGAATAGGTTCCCACAAGCATAGCTGAAGCTCTAAAGGATCCAAAATGTAGAAGGGCTATTGAAGAGGAAATTTGTGCACTAGAGAAAAATGCTACTTGGACCGTTGCAGACCTTCCTCAAGGATAAAGATTGTTGGTTGTAAATGGATCTTTGTAGTAAAGTATAAATTCAATGGTAGTATCCAACGATACAAAGATAGACTAGTGGCCAGAGGCTTTACGCAAACATATGGGATAGATTTCACAGAAACTTTTGCACCTGTGGCAAAGCTCAACACTGTTCGAGTACTCCTAAGTTTGGCTGTAAATTGCGATTGACAATTACACCAACTTGATGTAAAAAACGCATTTCTTAATGGCAAGCTAGAGGAAGAAGTATATATGAAATTACCACCTGGCTTAAAATCTATTGAAGGTAGCAACAAGGTTTGCAAGCTCAACAAGTCTCTATACGGTTAAAACAATCACCCAAAGCTTGGTTCGAGAGGTTCACTAAAGTCATTTTTAAAAACGGCTACAAGCAATCCCTTGTTAATCATACTCTTTTCATCAAGGTAACTTCTGCAAATAAGAAAGTTATCCTAATTGTGTACGTGGATGACATAATTCTTACTAGAGATGATGAGGAAGAGATTAGCAATTTGAAGAAGTTGTTAAACAGGGAATTCGAAAACAAGGACTTGGGAAAGCTAAGGTATTTCCTAGGAATGGAAGTGGCAAGATCAAAAGAAGGACTTGCGATCAACCAAAGAAGTATGTACTTGATTTACTCAAACAAACGGGTTTTCTTGGTTGTAAGCCGGCTGATACACCAATGGAGGCAAACTTGAGATTCAATAAAGAAGATGGGTCCTTAGTAGACAGAGAGAAATTTCAAAGAATAGTTGGGAAACGAATTTACTTATCCTTGACAAGGCCAGATATAGCCTTTCCCGTAAATGTGATAAGTCAACACATGACTAATCCTACTGAAGAGCATATGGAAGTAGCAAATAGAATTCTCAAGTACTTGAAGAAAACTCCAAGACACGACTTAATGTTTAAGAAGACACAAGACATAACTGTTAAGATTTTTACAGACTCTAGTTGGGTCGGAGATCTCACTGAAAGATCCACTAGTGGCAACTGCACTTTTGTTTGGGGTAACCTTATAACTTGGAGAAGTAAGAAACAAACTCTCATTTCAAGAAGTAGTGTTGAAGCTGAATTTAGAGCACTAGCATTGGGAATATGCGAAGGAATTTGGCTACTTAAATTACTAAAAGAACTTGGCACTAATCGGGAGGATCACTTTGAAGTTTTGTGTGATAATCAATCTGTCATTTAGATTGCCAAGAACCCAGTTCAACATGGTCGAACAAAGCATGTTGAGATTGATAGGCATTTTATTGTTGATCAAGTCAACAAAAAGACAACCACCCTTTCATACATTCCTTCAGAAGGACAAATTGCAGACATTTTTACTAAAGCTTTGCCAAAGCTTGTTTTCAATAAATTCCTATTCAAGTTGGGATTATACAATGTATATTCTCCAACTTGAGGGGGAGTGTAGGAATTATAGAATTATAGAATTATATGAGTTGTTACCATCCCTTTAGTTAAGGGATTCTGAGATTAGTATCTTTCCTAACTTAGTGTTTCTTAAGTTAGAGACATAGTTTGTATATACAGATACAATACGTCCTATTGAATTAATAAGAAAATACAAAGACTTACTCTGATTTCAACAAATTTGCATTCAACAAAATGCATGGCCAAATTGAAGAACATGAGCATTATTCACAAATTCAATCAAGAATCCTTTCACCATTTAAAATTAAGTGTAGGATGGTTACCATTCCTAATATCACATTAACATGGTCTATATAAACCAACATTTAACAGTCCCCTAACTCCACAGCTTGAAATTGCAAAATATATATATTAGAAAACATGAAATTAACCGAGCATACCCTCTCAGGATGGATATAACATTGACCATTTGGTTTAGCAGTACTGGTGGCTAGACGGGCCATGAGCATATTCTTTGCAATCCCAGCACTAGCACTGCATCCAGTAGCTTCATATATCTCTTTTCGTATTGCTGAAGCTAAAAGCTGAGGATCTCTACCTTCTAAGTCTGTGACATCTAAAAATGCTTCATCGCAGCTGACAGCCTACATTCAACAATAATTGCAACGCTAATTATAACAAAGGCTTTCCTTTTCCATAAAGATGGACATTTAATCCAATACCATGAGCAGACCTGAACTCTGTTGCAGTGTTTATGCAAGATGTTATAGAACTTATCAGCAACCTGCAAAATTAAAATACATATGAAAAAATCCAAACAACAGGACTAGTAGTAATCCACAGGAAAAAAAATACTTTTCCTAAGATGCAATTGCCAGGTTGAAATGTTAATCAGATTCAACTGCAGTTCTTTATCAGGACCTTATTTTTTGTAAGATCAGTTAATTCAATGTGATGGTTGCCATCCAGGGCTTCCCTGGTTGTGTCGTTCACCCTTTGACATGCACATCCTCCATTCAAAAGGAAACAAAATGCAGAAATAAAATGTAGAAAAGAGGACATGAGAAGAGAGGCGAGGGAACAAACACACTTTTCCATATCTAAGCAAATTTAACAGCTAACTTGCATACCCAGCTAGTGATGTACCTCCTCATATGCTTCAAAGTTATAAGGGAGAATAACAAGTTGAGGGCAAAGACCCTTGGCATCTCTAACAAACATTCCCGCCTTAATTCCTGAAGGGGAAAAAAGCATCAATCTCATGCTGAATAAAAGCTCTCAAACTAAAATATTAGAGCTAAGGGAGAGAGATAACTCAGACAAAAACCAACCATAATCTCGAGCAGAATAATTTGCAGAAGAGATTTCAGCAGTTCCTTTTGGATTGTATGAATGGCATACAGCTACAGGCTTGTCATTTAATTCAGGATGGCTCCTGATGACCACCGAGACAAAGAAACAGTCCTGAAGCAGCATATTAATTTCAATCCAAAACCATTGGTACCGAGGAAAAGAAAAATTAGTCTACGTAGACATATACAGAATTGTAACTCATGCTAGAAGTCTAATCCTATATGAGTCATTATCAATTATCGGTACAACTGTGATATTAGAAGAGTAAGAGGATAGACAACAATAAGTTAAGGTTAAAAGCCCAATGTACCATGTCAATGTGGATAATGGGAGTCTTCTGTGTACCAGCAGAAACATCTGAATTAGTAGACTTTGTCCAGCCATTTGACAAGCTAGGAAAACGGTTGCGATATCTATTTCTCCAGGTTCCTATGAAATGTAGCCTTGAATTCTACAATAATTTTAAAAAAAAAACTAGTCAATATATAGATGTTACAACAATATGTACAGACACACATAACTCATATACATGAATGCCCTTTCAAAAGGAGTCAAGGAAGCATTAATATTAACAGTCTAGTGAATTAGTCACGGTTACCATTAATATTAAAAGTTCAGCGCAAAAGTTACCATAACCAAATGCTTGATAAACAAAACATAATGGGCTACTTGGGTCAAGAACATGGATTCAATAAACTTCAAATGGAAATGTGACAATCACCATATTCCAATCTACATAATACAGTCGAAATAAATTCGCAAAGAGTAACTCGATCAGCAATACTCAAACAAATAACTACAAAAAAGGTCTAACATTTCTAATAACTAAAACAAAAACAAAAAACACAAATGGCTTGAAGCCGCTGAGAGGATCACAAAGAAGTAATCAAATATAGCGCTGCAATGTGAGAATAAACAATCATTAATCTATTCAATACCTTGAAGTAATTCTCCACAAAATTGGGATCCTTAAGAGTGGAATGCCGCTGCTTGGAAGGTCCAATGACCGATGATCTGGGTGATCCTCTTATACCACGATTGTCAAAACAGTGGCTACTAACAGATGCAGAGGATTGTTCAGGACAAGACTGATGTCTGTTGTTTGCCAAGCTTTCATCATCCTCTTGTAGATTAGTTGGTTCTAACACTTCTACTTCCTTAGGTTCTTCACTATACCTATTACTTGGCTCATCGATTAGGGTTTTATTAGAATTTTCACACATAAGTTTGTTGTGTTCTTCGGTAGCTTGCTTCCTCCATTCAAAGGAATTACCTGCTTCAGAAAAACTTGCATCCTTTGATGCATCCTTTAAACATAAAAGCCCAGTTTCATGTTTTACCTCACAGATTGGATTTGTAAAAGCACCCTCATCTGCAGGTTTGCTTTTTGGAGTGAAGAAGGACGACAATGTTGGTTGATTGTTAGCAAGTTGGTTAAGCTGGTAAGGAACCCCTTGAGAGAGCAAAGCAAGATCCATAATAATTCAATAGCATGTTAAAATGATAGTTGACATCGTCAATTAGAGAAAGTAAGAAAAAAAAGGAATATTATTAAAGCTCCACAAGTAATAACTTTTTCATTTGAAGTAACAAACTTCTATTTCTGCCATTTTGGTTCAATAATTTATCAACCATTTTGGTTCAATAATTTATCAACCATTTTGCTATGCTTCTCTCTTCAACTATGTAACTATAAACTGTGAACACACAGAGTGCATCAACTTACAACTCAAGAGTTTGTTAGCAGCAACAGAATCTAGAATCCACATAGGTTTCACTACAGGGAGTCCACTGCTAAATGACCTAAAATCAAATCACAAACAAAAATAACTCAACTTATAATTAAAATCCATTTAACCATTCTAAACATATAAATATGAAATTAAAAGAAAAAACGAACCTGAGATTCTTGATTTTACTGTCAGGAAGGTTGCTGCATATGATATGTGTGACTCGATGCCTTGAAAAATAATTCTCAAATCGGCCACCATAATTCAACATGTACTGTCGCAGCTCCTGCTCATTTCGTCATCAATATAAACAAAAAATATGTCACCAATTTGAAACTCATAAAACTGGAATGGTGGAGAAGAACTAAACAAAATTACATTGAATCAGAAAGAGTATACAAGAACTAAACCTGACTAGATGGAATCGTGAAACCATCAACAAAAATTGAAACCCCGTCAAAAATAGGTTTCGTATAAGAATCACTACGACTAGAATTCGAAGCCTGTGCATCAAACTGATTTTGAAGCTTTTTATTTTTCACAGCCATATAACTGCAAAAACAAAACAAAAAATGGATAACAACTAATATCCTAAACATAATTGATTTGTCTGAAGCATGAAAATTAAGGAGAGAAAAGGAGGGAAAATGTTGAAAAACCTTCCGAAATCAGAGAAAGGAGAAGAGCGGAAAGAGGGGCGAGAGCCGGAAAGAGAATTGGCGCCCCAAGCCATGCCTAAGGTTTTCTGGTTACTTTTCCTCTTCTTGCTATTGCTGGTGTTACTTTGATTGTTTGAAGAAGTTGAATTGATGCTTCGTTGTTTCGAATTAGAGGAATCCAGACTCATTTTTCCGGAAGAGTTTTATGTTAAAATCTAAACCGCCGACTCCACAGAAAACAACAACAAAATTTAGCGGGAGAATTTCAGTTCATATATTCCAATCTAACAAACAAAATACGGGAGAAAAAAGAGTTTATAGGCGTACGCAGTACGCTATACCTAAGTTTATAATTATATATGCGACGTGGCTTGTTTTACCTGGAAATTGTGGTGTTTCAGATCAGGGATTTTGCAGACGTGACTCGTGAGTGTGGCGGTAAAACTCGACCGATTACCAATTGATCCGCCCCAAATTCAAAGGTACAAAATGCACAACGAGAAAATAAATGGGTAAATTACACCTACCCCCTTTACTTTTTATATATCTTATTTTAGTCACAACTTTTTAAAACATTATGTTTTAATCCTATTGTTTTTTATTGTCTTATTTTAGCCATTAGGTTAGTAATTCCTGTTAGTTTTTTAACATGGCATATTAATAAAAATAGTAACTTACCCCTAATTTTAGATATAATATTAATTTAATCTTATTTTTTAAATAAAATATTAATGGTATAGTATCATAATTAGACCCCACATTTACTTGAATGATTGTTTAAGTTTTTGTTTATTTATTGTAATATTTTAATTATTAACATTTTTTAAATAATCTAGGGTGATTATAAATTTGTATTCGTTCAAAAAAAATTTAGTCAATTGACAACGCGCACACACCTTACAGACGTAGCTGTTCGAACGCAAGACCTTCAAAAAGAACAACATTCTCTTTTATTACTAAGGTCACTTAATGAATTCAACTCTTAAAATTTAATTTTAATAAAAATTATTTAAATACATATTATTAACGTAAAATTTTATTTTCGTTTTAGTTAGTAGAAAGTAGTTATTTTTGTTTTGTTTTTTGAAATCGAAAATGAGGGCGTAAAGGCCTTTACAAATTATAAACAAAAAATACACAAAAGTTGTGGGATTAAAGTTCAGATTGGTATTATTTTTAAAAAAATGATTTTAGAAATATTGTTAAAAGGTATTTCTAAAATATTTATGAAAAATATTATTCAAAATTTAATTTTTAAGATTGCTATTTGTAGACACTCATTTTCGTTCGGAGTTTTTTTATAATGTATAGTTTTGAAAACGGTTTTCGAAAATATATATATTATATAGTTTTGAAAATTTTTGAAAACGTATATATAATATATAGTTTTTGAAAACATTTTTGAAAATATATATAATATATAGTTTTTGAAAACATTTTGAAAATATATATATAATATATAGCTTTTGAAAATATTTTTGAAAATAAATATATAATATTTTGAAAATGTTTTTAAAAACATTTTGAAAACGTTTTCAAAAATTTGTATATGAGTTTTGAAATAAGTAAATTTTTAGTATATGGTTTTTATTTATATCATATTTACTTATTTATTTCATTTAATTTTTATTTATTATTATTTTTTAATTTGGTCTAGGTCCAAAAACAGGATCCAACCGGGTAGTTTGACCCAGCAGACTCGATTCAGTCAAAAGGAAATTAGGGTTTTATAATGAGGAAGGGCGACGCATAGGAGAGCGCGTGGAGGTCACTCGCCAACATATTTCATAAATTGGTCAGGATTTTCGCAAGGTCGGTGTAACAATCTGCACAAACAGCACTCAGCCGAACGTCCAACGAAAGAATCGGGTGAAAACCCCACCCATCTCGAAGCAACAGCAGTCGGATTCAGGCTATAAAAGCCTCTGACCAAGCTATGGACAGGGGGAACCAAACACGAAACAACACAACAGAATCGGAGGCAACCAGAGATTAATATCGCACAGCCAACACGACAAAAACAACAAAAATCACACATCACAACATCAAGCAAACGAAGCATAAAAAAGACAACCAACGCAACAAAAAACGAAGCAAAAATAATATTCAGAATAGCAAGGAAAAACACAAAAAATATTTCGCTTTGGGACTGCACGGAGGGGAGCATGGTCGTGGAACGCCAAAGGTCGCCGGAAATCGTAGAGGCTCATCGGAAAAAGGTAAAACCCGATTTGTTTTGCTTAGATCTACACCGTTTAGGAGCGATTTTGTGTGATCGGAGTTCGACTTCGGCTTCGAGGTGTTAAAGGGAACATTTTGGGAGATTTTGTTTTTTTTCGACGATCGAAGCGGTGGTCGGCCCTTGGCCGGATGGGGAGAGTTGAGAGATTTTTTGAATGTTTGAGAATTTTTTCAAAATGAATGGGTAAAAATAATATTTTTTTGGTTTTTTTGGCAATTTATAGATGAGGGACCTTTTTGCAAATAGAAGATAGTTAAATTATTTCCTCAGTCCCTCAAGTTTAATGTGTAATTCATTTTGGTCACCTATTTCAGTTTTACCTCTAAATTTTCAATTATTTCAATTTGATCCTTCGTTATATTTGTTATATTTTACGATTTAATCCCCTAACTTTTAGTTTTCTTTGGAAGATCACTTTCTAATATTAATTCAAGCCATAAAGATATAATAAATTCAATTCGGTCCTTTTTTTATTTGTTTTATAGCAGTTTTTTAAAACATTTTTCTTCCTTTTAATATTTTTTCTCTTTTTTTCTCTCTTTTAAAATTTGACATTTTTTTAGTTTATTCGTTTTTTTGTTTTAATATTTTCTTAATTTAATTTTATCTTATTTTATTGTTTTTCACTTTTAATATTGGTGTGTTTTTTCATTTATTTTAACCTTTTTTATTTTACCATTTAATATTTATTTTGACTTTTTAGGGACAACTTTAACCAATCAAAGGTGAGTAATTTGAATCGAAATTTTAAAATTTAATTTTTTGCAATTAAGACAACCAACAAATTAAATGGTACCAAAAGGACAGTTCAAGGGTGCTAATCCTTCCTTGACTGTAACCGACTCCCGAAACCGACATATTTTGGTAAAACGCAGATCAGGTAAGATGGTGTCCGATCAACCTAAATATTGTTTTTAAATTATCGGTGGCGGCTCTAACATTATGTAAGTCGAAGCTCAATTCTGGACCCACCCGAAAGACGGCTGCGACACTATTAAAAAGTGATTCTGGAAAAATGAAATATATATTTTAGATAATATATTATAATTTAAAAATATAATACTTGAGGATTAAAATATAATGTCATCCAAAAATAATTTTTCCCGACAAATAAATTATGAGATTATATTAAAAAATCATTTTTTTCAAATTTAAATTAATTTTTAAATGTTTAACATTGCAGGTAAAAAAAATCAAATTTTCATAGCTACAAGCATTCTCAACTGACCCGCTTGTTGAACGAGAACGTTGGTGCTACTTGCCACAGGGGGGCGTTTCACGATTCATGCATCAGTCAGTAAGCTTTGTAATTTGGTCGGTTACCAAATTTGCTTTTTTTTTTGGTAAACTAAAGTAATTAAACTCCTCTAATCATTATTCTTGATTATCTTATTACGCTCGAGCTGGATTAGTTGTTTAACCTCTATCGGAGGGTTCAGGTATACGAAACAGTCCATTAAATCAAACTTTGCGCTTTTCGCCAGGCGGTCTGCGATCAAGTTTCCTATCCCTGAAATGTGGTTGATTTCCACCGTCCAATCCATCTCCAAAAGTTCCTTGATTGCATGCATTAGAGTAAAAGATTGACTTTGAATTTCTCTAGCCTGTAATATCTGGAGTACTTCTAAGTTCTGTTTGATATGTGATTTTTCTTTCACCTAAACGCCATGTTTGTTGTGATCCTATAAGGACCCCCATAATTCAGCTTCCACAATAGTGCATATACCTATATATTTTGAAAAACCTACTATCCAATCACCTGAGCTTCCTCGGAGTACTCCTCCACATGACGTCAATCCTTCATTCAAGGTTCTTGCACCATCGGTATTCAACTTGACCCACCCTGACGGTGGTGGCGTCCATTTTACTTGCTCTCCGTTCACGTTCTTCTTCCCACGTATACCACTCCAGATTATCTTATTTGCTTTTTGAAACAGAACGTATTTGTTTTTTTTTTCAGTTACGGAATCGCTATCAGCCACCTACTTACACTTTACTACCAACAAATTTCCATCAGTTAATATAAAATATTGACCAAATTAGTATAATGTAAAAATTAAAACCACATTTAAACCCCATGAATACATCTGTAATATGCCCTCTTCTCGAAATTGAATTGGAAATTTAAGCCTCGAAGATTTTCAACTGTAACCAGGTCCACAAGCTGCTTCCGAAAAGCAAAAACAAAACATCTCCACTTTCTCCTTTCCATTTCGATTTTCCACTTGCATATTTGTTCAGTCAATTTTATAAACCAAAAACAGGAGAAAACACACACGCTTCTCTTTTATATATTATGTAACATATATCCACCGCTGTCTTTATATCTCTGTCTCAGGAGTTACCTTTCCCAGATTCTCTGTTTTTTCTACTTTTTTACCCCGTTTGATTTTTCAAAATGGGCTGTCAAAATCTCTTTGCCACCACTGCTTCACATTATACATTGTTTCCCATTGCCGGCGACCAGAAATCGGCGCCGTTGCTATTCGCCACATGCAAAGTGCAGGCGACAGGGACCAAGCATAACCCTCTGCTCTTCAGCTCCTTCCCTGCTTCTTCACCTTCGTTCTAATAACACAATGACAATAAAAATACACCGTTTTAACTCCCTTTTTTTCCACTATTAATTTATCAACAACTTAATAACAATAATAATAAAAAACTGGGTTTTTCTTCTTCTTTTGGTTGCTTACAGTTACAGGTGGGTGTTGCAGATAAGGAGAACAAAGGACTTGAACCTGGTCATTCAGGAACCGGATATAACCCATCGCTTCATGGAGCACGGATGCCGTATCTGTCTGCAAGATTGCCAAATTCCCATAATTGTCCCATAGCATTAATCATTTTCGGGTAAATGGTGAGTTAAATCATGATCGTAAATATCTCGAACCTTGCCAAAAGGTGAAACCAGCTGCTGCAATGCTGTGATTCTATCCCCTATCTTTTCTTTCCTCAACTGTAATCGTTAACAAAGGGAAATCATCTGTTAAAATTTATCTTTTTTAAGCTGGAAGTTTCAAAAATAGACCCATTTTGTATAAAATTACCTTTGCATGCCCAGTGGTGGGGTTCTCAGCCTTGTTCTTCTTATTGGTTCTTCGGCTTGCCGGTTGAGTTTCAACAATGACATTCCTCTTTCTCTACCATACAAAAAAAATGGACTTGAAAAAGTAATCTTTCTTTCTACGGATTTAAATAAAAAAAGGCAAAGATTAACACTTTTGAAACTCACATTCGATTTCGAGGGATCCTGGAAAGATATGTTGTTGTTACCAGAAGAAGCCGAATAAGAATCACTGCATGCAGCCGTTTTTTTAGCAGCAACAATGGCAGATTCTTCACGAAACACAATCTCACCATCAGTTTGGTGACCCCCAAAGCAAAGCATTTTGGGGGACTTGTCATGATCACGAACAGCAAACGAAGAACAACTGTAGTTAAAACCCTGGCCAAGATCAAGACCCACAACATCATCATCACCACCACCACCACCAAACAATAACTGAGAAAAACGAGTAGTTGCTGCAGTCGACTGGTCCCCCTCAAAACCCTGATCACTCTTAGCCATCATAAAAAGAAAAGAAAACCCAAAAATCAAACAACCCCACAAGCTTGAATTATGTAACTTTTATAAACTTTCGTTCTCTTTTTGTCTGGCTGTGCGTGTGTTCGTTGTAGTTGGAAAGCAACTAGCAGCAGCCGTACCAATTGGGAAAAAATGGGTGGTTTAAGGTGGGGAGGTTTCCCAAGGTTGGCTTTGGTTTTCGACTAGTGACAGTCAAACCCGTATAGCCCGAGAAAACCGTGGTTTATTTATCCAAAGCGTTGGTTTACAAATTTTGATTTGGCTGATACCCTTGTGTATGACTGGTTTTCTATTCGGCATTGAAACTCAAAAAAATAGAAAGACCTGATCAGCGTTCAGTCACCAGCACCGACTAACTGAGATGACTTAACGTACAAAAACTTTTAAGAAAAATACCTAACTAGTGCGTAAATGAACAAATATTTATATAAGACTATTCGTGAATCATTTATAACCTTTTATTTGGGCGTTTTTCTCGAAATATCTATCCTATAATATTTTTTATCATGTACCATTTAGACTATTTTTTTTATCTAACACCTTATGCAGTAAAGTACGCCCCTGCAGTATATTTTACGTTGATCTAGCGTCACGTGGGTATAGTACGGGATAGATGCCGCGTTTTAACTTTAATGCTGACAGGCGTCAGAAATGAGCGCCCCTGCGGCGCACCTTATGTTTAATTACCGCCTACCTCGGCTATTCACACCCCACTCCCTCCCTATAAATACCCCAATTCTCAATCATTTTCATCACACCAAATCCTCTTAACTTCTCTCAAATACTCTTATATTATATTTTAACTGTTTAAGGTATATTTTATTATATTTAATATTTTGTTTTTAATTTATTTAAGTATTTAAATTTTTTAATATTTTATTTAATTAATTTTTTTGCATATATAAAATGGAAGGATGTCTACTTCGCTTGGATGGAAATCATATATCGCGTCATTTTGCTGATACGATAACATTTTAACGTTTTAATATAATTTAAATTATTAGCAATAATTTATTTATTTATTTAATGCATGATTATTAGTTTAAAAAATAATTTTTGTAATTATTTAATTTTAGGAGAGGAACCGTGTATTAGATCATTTTATTATGAACCTTAAGTTAGTGATACATAGTTGTGTCTTGTCGTATTTAATAAAGGTTGGATTCGCTCACATAGGTAGGTATGAGGGTCACTGTAAGATAGAACCAGACCTTATTTCTGCCTTAGTGGAGCGATGGAGGTCGGAGACCCACACATTCCATCTTCCGTGAGGAGAGTGCACGATTACACTCGAGGATGTTTCTATGCACCTGGGGCTTCCGGAGGATATAGATGTGATATCGGGGATGGTGCACAGTTCATGGACTACTTTGTGCCGGGACTATCTAGGACGTGTCTCGGAAAGTTTTAACGGTGGTCGGATACCGTTAAATTGGTTAGATGCTAATTTTCGGGAGTTGAGCGATGACGCCTCTGATGATGAAGTTAAAATGTATGCACGGGCATGCATATTGCAGCTGATAAGAGGGTTGTTGATGTCAGACAAATCGCGCAACCAAGTTCACTGTTTGTGGTTGCGATATCTTGGCGACTTTCGTTTGGCCGGATCACTCAGTTGGGGCTCGGTAGTTTTGGCATTCCCGTACAGGGAGATGTGTCGAGCCACTGACTACAAGAAAAATGCTATCGGCGGATGTCTCCTGCTGCTGCAATGTTGGACATGGTATCGATTACCCCTTTTATGGCTCGTTGTCAAGAACTCATTCGTATTTCCGCTACTATTGAGGTAATTATAATACTGATTTCGTATATTAATAATTTTATACAGTGTATAATAAATTTTATTTTCCTTGAATAGATGGTCTACTGATAGGAAAAATCATCAGGAGCTACCTGATGATTTAGAAAAAATTATGGTATTAATCGACCAAAAGGTTGGCACACAGGTATGCATTTTAATGTTTAAAAATCGATTTTAGATTATAATTGTATAATTAGATTATTATTTTTATAAAAATTATATATATTTGTTTTAGTTTGAATGGGTGTCATATTCTAATGATGATGTGAGGATGGTGATCCCACCTGAGTTGAGGGGCTCATGAGATGTTTGGATGTCAATAGTCCCTTTGATCTGTTATGCGATCGTCGAGTGGTACTCCACTGATCGTGTGGTCCGGCAATTTGGTTGTTTTCAACCAATTTCGAAAGCACCTCGCAATATAGACGAGTTGTGTAACACCCCAACCCGTACCCGACCTGGATACAAGTCCGAGATGTCACATTGACATTTTCAAAACCTTTATTATTGTAAAATAACTGAGCATTTGAATATATATTAAGAAAATACACTCATGTATTATTCAATTATGCTTGGTAGAAAGTTTTGAGATAAAAACGTGTTTATGAACGGTGAAATACGATATAATCAGTAGTACAGTAACCTGCTACAGTGATTTTCCGTAAATTGTACATAACACTCGTAAACATTTAACAGTTTATTTCTTTGCATTTGTACTTGTATGTATATATGTTTAAAAGATTACAAAACTCGATCAGAGCATAATACTTAATTTACCTACTTTACTTACATGCCAACCTATTTATCATAATTATACATACTGTGTAATTTACTTCTGATCTGGTCTTTGGGCAGAGATATGTGGTTACTTTGAACTTAGCTTTGATCCTTCTACTTCTCAGTACTTACGTGTAAATCACTTACACGCTAAGTCATAGACTTAGTGAAGCAAAAACATAATAACAATAATGCATTTCTCATAAATATAAACATTCAATCTATGAATTCAATCGAGTCGCATATAATTCAGTATACATGATAACCTGAGATAATATAAATACTTTTAGTACCTTTTTATCGTATAAATACATATACTACTTCACAACAAATCATACATAGTAGCAAATCAATTTATTTATTTACTCTCTGTAAAGACCATGTATTAGCCCATGTATACTTTCGAGAACTCAAGGTATGTGAGTACATTGAGGTTGTGCACCACTATGCTGTCACAACAGCTCGATCAATGTCCCGAAGGACCAGTCTATAGATTCCGAAGAACCTAGGTAATCAGTCCATATGTTCCGAAGAACATAGGTAAACAGTCCATATGTCCCGAAGAACATAGGTAAACAGTCCATATGTCCCGAAGAACATAGGTAAACAGTCCATATGTCCCGAAGAACATAGGTAAACAGTCCATATGTCCCGAAGAACATAGGTAACCCTCGACCCTTGGCATGCCAACTATACCCCTAGCTCTCATATCACATAACATGGGCATTATCATTTATGACCGTTCACATTACTTATTCATATTCTTACTCTTATAAACACATACCGTTTCTTTTCAGTCACGTATCACATATACGTGTAATCCTTGATCTCATAATCACATGTTCCTTCTCTTCTATCACATACCAAATGTATGTGTAAACACATATCCAATATCATATGTTGCATTTTCATGTAAGCATGTAAATCATGTAACATATAAACATACATCCATTTCTATGTACTAATGCATACAGAGTAATCACATAACATTATATAAGTTACTTCTTACCATAGTAACTCTATCATTGACTCATCGCAAGCCAATGCTTGATCAATCACATAAGTACAATTTAAATTGCACTCACCTTAGCCTTGCTTTGATTCGATTATTCCGGAACTTGTTTAGGCTCAATATCTACATAAATATATCATTTCAAAACAACTATCAGAAGCCTAAACTTTAAACTTGATGTTAATAACTTAAACCGGTTTAATAAATTGAATTCTGAATTTTCATTTAGGGGGGAATCGATACCCCCCCCCAGGGGAATCGATACCCCCTGAACAAACTGGAATTTTTCGTTCAAGAGGGGGAATCGATTCCCACTCATAGGGTATCGGTTCCCTCTGCCCAGAAATTATATTCTAAGCCCGAAAATCATCAATTTTCAACTCAAACCTTCCTATTTCACTTCCTTTAATACTCCTAACTTTAATACACATGCTTAAACTTATTTCTATTCCATAATCACTTCTTTAACTTTAAATCTAGTCATTCCTATGTAATTACAAAAATTATACTAATTTTGCAACATGTTCAAATTCCTATTCTAACACTTCCTATCCCTTAATTAACTTGATTACAAGTCAAATTCAACTTTCAATTCTCAATATACACTTTATTTCAATATTTCATTCCAAAACTCCTAATCTTTAAATCCTCATAAACTCTTCATTTTGTTGTTTTAAAGCAAATTAATCCTTCCTTAATCTTACTTAGCATCTAATAATCAAAACTAAACTTAAATTTCAGCACATAATCAACTCAAGAGACAACTTACCTTTTGCTTGGCTTCACACGTGAAGAGAAAATGAAGAAGGAAAAGAGAGAAGAGATTTTTCTGGAAAACCTCCATCCTTATCCATATATATATCATTTAATTATATTTTCAAGTCTAATGACCAATTTGCCCTATAACTCTTTAGATAATTACTAGAAACTTTTAGGAAATATTTCTGAACAAATCATTAAACTATTAAACTATTACACTTTAATCACCATATTCTAAAATTTTATAATTTTGGTCACTAACCCGTATTTTGGGATGTTACAAGTTGCATAGCACAGATAGACGCGGCAAGACTGATATAGATTGGTTGGTGAGGCATCATGAGTGGGTCGTGCTGTAGGAGGATCGACATCGGCGCCTTCCCCGTAGAGATCCCATTTTTACTGACCTTTTAATGTTTGCTGAGGGTTATTATGAGTGGTTCAACAGTAACGGGGAATTGCTTCTGCTTTACGAGGATGCACGAGGGCAGACCTTTCAGCGACGTCGAAAGAGACGTTCACCGTCTACAGTACTATCGTCCCCGCCACATCAGTCACCGTCTACAGCGACGTCGAAAGAGACGTTCACCGACACAACACTATCGTCGAAAGAGACCTTTCAGCGACTCGTGA